GGGGGGCACGGTTTATACCTTTGTGTATATGTAAAATAGCTGTACAGGTTTAGTTTTTGCTGACTTATATACAGTGTCTCTGTATAATTAAAAATGTCTTTTTCTTCAAGGTGGTTACAGTCGACGTTTACCAAATGCAAGTGCACTGGGAAAGATTTTCACAGCTTTGCCTTTTGGTGATCCCATTTACCAGATGTTGGAACTGAAGCTTGCCATGTACATTGATTTCCCCAGTCACATGAAACCAGGAATTCTCATTACATGTTCGGACGACATAGAACTTTACAGCACTGGAGTTGAAGAAACCATCACATTTGATAAACCTGGATTTACCGCATTAGCTCACCCTTCAGATTTGACAGTTGGGACCACTCACGGAGTGTTTGTTTTAGATCCATCCAGTTTTTCAGGAAAAGGAGAACTTGAATACACATCTTGCCGTCATTTCCTGCACAAGCCCGATATTGAGACGATGCGCCAGTGTGGCGCAGTATGCGTAAGAGGGAATTGTTCTCAGCTAAGTTCCTCTGGAGACGACAGCGACTCAGAAATGGACTCAGAGTGTGTGTATACAGACAGTATCTTTTACATGGATCATAGCATTGCAAAACAATTACTGACATTTTATAAGCAGATGGGCACGCTTTGCTGTGAAATAGATGCATATGGTGACTTCCTTCAGGCCCTGGGACCTGGAGCCACTCAAGATTACACAAAAAATACCAGTAACGTCACGAAAGAGGAATCACAGTTAGTAGAAGTACGGCAGAAGCTATACTCTCTTCTGAAAGGAACTACGCTTAATGTTATAGTCTTAAACAACTCTAAGTTCTATCACATTGGAACTATGCAAGAGTATTTGTTTCATTTTACATCTGATAGCAAACTGAAATTTGAGCTCGACTTACTGTCTGTGGCTTTTAGCATCTTTTCTGACAAAGCTGAGACCTTGGATCAGTCAGCAAGTATCATTCAAAGCATACTTGAGCCTGGATGTTTTATAGGACCTGGATCCGTTATTGAATACTCTAGAATTGGACCTGAAGTCTCAGTAGGGAAGAACAGCATTATTAGCGGATCGTACATAAATTTGAAAGTAGACATACCTTCAAACTGTTTTCTGAGTTCATTAAGTATAAAAATTAACGATCAAGTAAAGTATGTAAGTATGGTGTTTAGTGTAGAAGATGACTTGAAAAAGAGTGTGAAATTGTTGTCAGATATACATTCACTCCAGTTTGTTGGAGTCAGCTTACTAGTATGTTTGGACCTCTGGGGTGTAAAGATTTCAGACCAGCTCTTCTCCAGTGAGAACACAGGTTTGGGGTTGTGGACTGCTAGGATTTTTCCTGTTTGTTCTACTTTAAGTGAATCAGTTAGAACGTCATTAAAAATGTTAAATTCTGTGCAGCACATGTCAGCTTTTAAATTGAATGGCTTTAAGCTCTTGTCTGTTGAAGAAATGCTCACCTACAAAGATGTAGAAGACATGTTGAAGTTTAGGAAGCAAATTTATGATGAAATCTGTCTACAAAGACAAAAAGAGAAGTCTGATTTGTAGAAGGAACGGTACTTGAACAAATTTCCTGTTTTCATTTGTGGATGATTGATTACTTCCCAGCTTGTAAAAATCATAAGGAAAAAAAGTACACAGGTCTTTTCTCTGATTCCATTGAAGTAGAA